GGAACCCTCTTGCACTGCTGGTAGGAATGCAAACTGGTGCAGCCACTGTGGAACACAGTATGGAGGCTCCTCAAAAGTTAAAAATAGAACTATCCTGTGATTCAACAACTGCACTACTATTTATCCAAAGAATATAAAAATACTAACTTGATTGTTATAGTAGCATTATTTACAATAACCAAATTATCGAAACAGCCCACGTGTCCATAAATTGATGAATGGATAAAGAAGATGTATACACACACACACACACACACACACACACAAATACACACACTATGGAATATTATTCAGCCATAAAAAAGAATGAAATCTTGCCACGTGCAATGACATGGATGGAGCCAGAGTATTCTACTAAGTGAAATAAGTCCATCAGAAAAAGACAAATATCATATGATTTCACTCATATATGGAACTTAAGAAACAAAACAAATGAGCAAAGGGGAAAAAAGAGACAGGGAGACAAACCAAGAAACTGACTCTTAACTATAGAGAACAAACTGATGGTTACCAGCAGGAAGGGGAGTGAAGGGATGGATTAAATGGGTCATGGGGATTAAGGAGTGCACTTGTCATGATGAGCTCCTGGTCATATACGGATGTGTTGAATCACTATATTGTACACCTGAAACTGATATTACATTATATGTTAACTAATGAATTTAAATAAAAACCTTAATAACCTTCAAATTTAGAAAAGAGTTTCACTGGATTTTAAGCATCTCAGAAAACAAAATAAAAAGGACTTGGAAATAACAAAAAAAGCAACCCTCATTCAAGTATTCTAGAATGTTTCTCAACCTCATATCTAGCACATATTTAAAAAGATTTCACTTACAAAAACTTATAAAATTCTTTAAAAAAACACTTAAAAAGATCACATGCTCTTGTCACACACTGTACAGACGTAATGAAGAATGTGAGAAATATCCAACAATTATAGGGCATCAAATTTTATCAAAGTCTGGAATCATCAATCTAGAGTTTTTGCTAAACAGAAAAATATACTAGCCAAGTTAAACTTTTTGAGAGAATCATCTCATTATTTCAGCATGTAGCAACTGAATTATAGCTAAAGAAAATATTTTCCCAAAAGTTGTCATAACCATAAAAACTGTGATGTCCTTTATTCACAGATATCTTATAATAACCTATAATTGCTCTTTAAAAATGTGAATAGATTAAACAGTATTCCTCCCTTATCCACAGAGGATACCTTCAAAGAGCCCCAGCGAATGCCTGAAATCATGGGTAGTACCAAGTACTATGTATACTGCATTTTCCTATGCATACATACCTATGATACAGCTTAACTTATAAATAAGGCACAGTAAGAGATTAACAATAACAAATAATAAAATTGAATAATTATAACAATATCCTATAATAAAATTTATGTGTGTGTGATCTCTCCCTCCCAAATATCTTGTTGTACTGTATTCAACTCTTCTCCTTGTGATGTTGTGAGGTGATAAAATGCCTACATGATGAGATGTAGTCAAGTGACAGGTCAAGTGAAGGCATTGTGACACAGCATTAGGCTACTATTGACCTTCGAGGGAGGGTACATCAGAAAGAAGATATTCTTCTGGACCACAGTTGGCCATGGGTAAGTGAAACTATGGAAAGCAAAACTGAAGGGGTGCCTGGATGGCTCAGTCAGTTAAGCACCTGACTTCAGCTCAGGTCATGATCCCACATCTCATGGGTTCAAGCCCTACTTCGGGCTCATGCTGACAGCTTGGAGCCTAGAGACTGTTAGGCTCTCTGTGTCTCCTCTCTGCACCTCCCCTGCTCGCACTCTGTATCTCTCTCTCTCTTAAAAATAAATAAACATTTTTAAAAAAAAATTTTAATGTGGATAAGGGGAGAGTACTGTACTACAACTACTAATTCAATACTCTTCACAACAAGTTCAAAGTACAAAAAACAAGCCAAGCTTCCAAAGGACTCACCACATTCTAAGTTGAAATGAAATTAAAAGTGGAAATATACCTTGAGGCTAAGTATATTTTTCTTTATGTTTACATGCCTTTTAAAATACTTTATCCAGGTTATCTTCATTAAATTAAGGCTTTTATAAAGGATTTAAGTTTCCTGATCCAGATATGGGACTGTAAAATATGCAATATAGGGATGAAAACAGGAAAGGAACACTTGTCTCAGAAGGAATCAAATAGAAAGAGAATTAGAGATATGGGGTATTATAATGAAGAGAAAAAAAACACATACCTTTAGCTGTGTAACAAACTCAAGGAATTTAAAGTAGATGAGAGAACTACAGCAAAGAAAATGCCTTTTCCACTACAAGCTACATATAGTGAAAATAAAATATAGCTGTAGAGTATACTTTACCCTTTTCAATAAGGTTTATTATAGAAATGATATTTTAAGTAATTATTTCAATCATCAACTTCATTTCTAAATGGGTATTTCATATATGCTATGTTTGAATGAAAATAACATAGTAATTTTAAACCACTAGTTTTTATTGTTCGTTTTCCAGCCAGCAGTCCACATCTTGGGATTTCCTTTTAGGTATTTACTTCCAGATACCTATACTTTTCTTAAGTGTGTATGTCCAGAAGCCTGTAGCTTCTGATTGCTAGCTTAGTTAAGAGCTAATTAGAGCTGAGGAAGAGGCCTCTATTCTAGTTGTACATGGATGACACCCTCTATTTCAAAGGTAGGAACCTGTTCTTTCTTGATATTAGACAAATCTTCAGGGACAGGATCCAGTTCCAAAGGCCCTTCGAGTTTTTGCTGATCTTCCAAAACCTTTGATTCTAATTTTATCCCTGGGACATCAGTCTGGAGATTTTGATATTCAGTAGACACATGGTCTACCAGAGCCTCATATGCAGCAGTTTGTTCAGATGGTGGAATAAGGTCATTTTCTACAGAGATTTGTGTAATAAAGTCCTCCTTGGCTTCTGGAAACTGTTTGTCAACAGAGACCATTTCTAAAGTAGTGTCTTCAGTTGACGGAGACTGAAGTTCAGCAGAGGCCTCCTCAGCTGATGGAGACCAAATTTCATATGAGGTATTTTCTTCAGGAGCCTCCTCAGCTGGTAGAGACTGAACTTCAGCTGGGGCCTCAGTTGGTGGAGCCAGAACTTCATATGGGGCCTCCTCTGCAGGGGCCTCTTCAGCGGGTGGGGACTGAACTTCAGCTGGAGCCTCTTCTGCAGGGGTCTCCTCAGCTGGTGGAGACTGAACTTCAGCTGGAGCCTCCCCTGCAGGGATCTCCTCAGCTGGTGGAAACTGAACCTCAGCTCTGGCCTCTTCTACTGGGGCCTCCTCAGCTGGTGGAGAATAAACTTCAACTTGGGCCTCAGCTGGTGGAGACTGAACTTCAGCTGGGGCCTCCTCTGCAGGGGACTCCTCAGCTTGTAGAGACTGAACTTCAGCTGGGGCCTCTCCTGCAGGAGCCTCTTCAGCTGGTGGAGACTGAACTTCAGCTGTTGGAGACTGAACTTCAGCTGGGGCCTCCTCTGCAGGGGCCTGTTCAGCTGGTAGAGACTGAACTTCAGCTGGGGCCTCCTCTGCAGGGGCCTCTTCAGCTGGTGGAGACTGAACTTCAGCTGAGGCCTCTTCTGTAGGGGCCTCCACAGCTGATAGAGGCTCTTCTGAAAAAGCCTCTTCAGCAGAGATAGACTCTACTTTAGCAGGGGCCTCTTCTTCAGGAGTCTCCTCATCTGGGAAAGGCTGTACAGGAGCTTCTTCAACTTTTGGAGACTGAACTTCAGCAAGAGGCCCTTCTGAAAGAGACTCTTCACCCAGGCTTAGCTGTACTTTGGCAGGGCCCTTTTCTGCTGGAGCCTCCTCAATTTGTGGAGGCTGAAGTTCAGTAGCAGACTTTCCTGCAATAATGTCCACAGCTGGTGTAGGTTGCACTTCAGCAGAGACCTCCTCTGCAATGGGAGGCTGGATCTCACCTAGAACGTACTGCTCATCTTCTAAAGGTACCAAACTACCTTTTTTGCTTTGCTGACTAAATGAAGATCTGCTAATACCTACCTGCCTAATTGCTTCATCTCTACTTGTTGAGGGTTGCAATTCAGGATGTTCACTAATGAACATCTTCCCTGAGGATTTACGTTTCTGCACAACTTCACTTGACTTTGAAAAAGAGCTATCTGGCCTACCAATTACCACTATTTCTGATTCACTAAAGTATGTCTGCTGTTCTCTGTCCACTGTTTCTTTTTGAGGAATGTTCATCATTGTCCAGTCTCCAGTACAACTGGTCTGCTGAGATCTGTCTATTTTGAATTGAATTGAGTGTCTGCTTGTCAGAATTTCTACTTCCTGAACACTTTCTGGAAATTCAGGGACTGCTTCTCCAAGAGCAGCTGGCATTTCTTCAGGTACCACTGTTTCACCAACTGGTTTGATTTCTTCTTTTTTCTCTTCTACAATAGTGTCTGTTTGCAGAGATTTATCAGTCATATGCTGTACATGCTTTCTCTTTGTCCAACTTTGCCGAAGTTGAGAAGATACTCTGAAAGGCTCACCGTTGACTTTACTTCCAGGAATGTTACCAATACTAAGGGTAGCTTTAGGGCCAGATGATTGTGATATAAGCAAATTTTTCTTTTTCTCTGTCACTTCGGTCTGCTGGGATTTATCTACCATTGGTTGACTGGGTCGTCTTCTCTTTCGAATTTCTTGCCTCCCTGCTGAGATAGGCTGATCAGGTTCATCACTTTCTTCCATTTCTAAGACTGGTGAATTTCAAATGTATTAATCTTCAAGTAATTAATCATCAGGAATCACAAATATACCAGATAGGTAAGTTTGCCTTTCTTCATTAAATGTTGTTATGTTTAGCTACCTTAGAAAAAAGTAATTCATAAATTGTTGCATTCTGTACTACACCCTTGTTGGATCCCACCTTACTCAGTAAGCATCTTTCTTGTTTAGTCTTTCATATGACTGAATCTCACTTCTAGAAGTTTCCCTTAAGGGTCTATGACATCACAGCCAATTCTCTCTACAAGCTTCCCTTGGTGGTATTCCAAGCACTTTTTAACTTGGTATAGACACTCATAGATAATGGCTGCAAGTGAGAGAGCTACTACTTGAAACATCAAGTTGAAAAAAGCATTTGTCTATCAGAGGAACATCAAGCAAACTCCAGTAATGCTGCTTCTTAATAGTTGAAGGTGATGCTTTTGAACTTTCAATTCTATTCTTTTCATCCTACTATCAAAGACAGTTATAATACAGAACTCAGAATGCTGCAGCCTATTTTCAATTGTTGGAGAAAGCAACTTATACGTGTGTGTATGTTTATATGACTTAAAGAAAATGAATATTGTATGAGAAACTTGAATTCTGAAGTCCATATTCATGTAAAGTCCTTTCCTATGTCTTTAGCACTCAGTAACTACAAGAGCCTACTATCTATCCAGCATCTATCTATCTATCTATCTATCTATCTATCTATTTATGTAGCATATTTGCATTCTCAAACGACTTGAGATATTTTTATTTTCAACTACTTCAGAAAATAGCTCCACCCAAAGCTTGCCAACTAAAGAATGTTAACTCTAAAGATATGCCAAGTGAAATAAAATGCATTTTTTAATATATAAGCTACTGAATAACCACGTAGGAATAAATTCCCTAGTGAAGAGGAAAACCTTAAAATGAAGCCTTGAAAAAGAGGAAACCCAGGTAAGCAAATTGTAAATGGTATTATAATAGATTTAGAATGTAAATAAAACCTTAACTTACACATCATGCAAACATTTTATTAGCAAGATTAACATTTATCAAAAGATGTGCAAAAGCACATTACTTTAGTCTACCAAAAGTTAAAGAGGAGAAAACAAACTTTAACGTTTATTTATTTTTGAGACAGAGAGAGACAGAGCATGAATAGGGGAGGGGCAGAGAGAGAGGGAGACACAAAATCTGAAACAGGCTTCAGGCTCTGAGCTGTCAGCACAGAGCCTGACGCCGGGCTCGATCTCATGGACCGTGAAATCATGACCTAAGCCAAAGTCGGATGCTTAACCGACCAAGCCACCCAGGCGCCCCAGCAAACTTTAAAAATGTAGTCAAAGGACAAAGAAATAAGCATATCTAAACAATCATTATGACTTGATTATCTAAATGTTTTTAAATTTCTTTATCCCCCTAGGAAATACAAAAATGCCATCGAATAATTATCCTTGTTTGATATGCATTATTCATAATTATAGCTAGGCTATCTTAGCCAAATCAAGACTTTTCAAATTCTTTGACCAGCTCCATAAACCAAACTCAGTCTCTTGGCAGGGATCAGTGAATATCTGTTTAGTGTAATTGGACAACTGTGATTTAAACCGTGTTGCTTGCCCTACATCTCAACTTGCTCTGTCTTAATTTTTGTCTATGCTGCTGTGCTATGTTCTATCTTTCTAAGAATTAATAAAGTGAAGTAAAACAATAGTCATTTTACAAAAGAACTGACCTAGGTTCTCATCAGACCTGCTATAGTTTGAAAATTAGGTTATCAACTGCTTTGTGGTCTGGTGATCTTCTCAATTCCATCTGTCATTTTGTAATCAAGTTTCTGACACTCTATGGAGTATCTTCAAAGTCCATTTTGGGTTGTTCTATAACAAGAAATACAAATGAAAACCACAATGAGATACCACGTCACACCTGTCAGAATGGCTAAAATTAACAACTGAGGAAACAATAGAAGTTGGTGAGGATGTGCAGAAAGGGGAATCCTCTTACACTGTTGGTGGGAATGCAAACTGGTGCAGCCACTCTGGAAAACAGTATAGAGTTTCCTCAAAAAGATAAAATAGAACTACCCTAGAACCCAGAAAATGCACTACTAGGTATTTATCCAAAGGATACAAAATACTAATTCAAAGGAACACATACACCCCGATGTATGTAACAGCACTATTAACAATAGCCAAATTCTGGAAAGAGCCCAAATGTCCATTGGCTGATGAGTGGATAAAGAAGATATGATATATATATATATATATACAATGGAATATTACTCAGCCATAGGAATGAAATTTTTCCATTTGCAACAAGGTGTATGGAACTAGAGTGTATTATGCTAAGCAAAATGAGTCAGAGAAAGACAAACACCATAGGATTTCACTAGCATGTGGAATTTAAGAAACCAAACACATGAACATAGGGGAAGGGAAGGATAAGTAAGATAAAAACAGAGAGGGAAGCAAACCATAAGACTTTCAACTATAGAGAACAAACTGAGGGTTGATGGAGGGGTGTGGGCAGGGGATGGGATAAATGGGTGATGACATTAAGGAGGACACTTGTTTTGAGGAGCACTGTGTATTATGTGTAAGTGATGAATCAGTAAATTCTATTCCTGAAACCAATACTACCTATATGTAACTAATTGAATTTAAATAAAAACTTGGAAGAAAAAAAAAATGTCAAAACTAACATTGTATTTAATTGGATTATGTAATTGCATGTATTGGATTAATTTTGCTGCCTCAATTTAAATAAGATTTTACCAAATTTTCCATAGACATAAACTGAATTTTCAATATCAGATAAATTCGCAATTTCCAACTATTTGATATTTATGTTTTCCCCTCTAAAAAATAATAAGGAATTTGATCAATCTTAATTACATACCAACCTATCATAGTAAACTGCCTTTGTCACTAACTTATTTATAGAAACAAATTAGCATGCCAAAAAAATCAAAAATTTACTTCAGATTCAAATGGAATTATGAGGAATTTCATTAAACAGTTTCTCATTATATATATTTTTTTAAGTTTATTTATTTTGAGAGAGAGAACAAGTGGGGGAGGGGCAGAGAGAGAAGGAGAGAGGGAATCCCAAGCAGGCACACAGGGCTCAAACTCATGAACCATGAAATTAAAAGTCTGACACTTAACCAACTGAGCCACCCAGGCAACCCTCATTAGATTTCTTAAATCCACAAATGTTCCTTTTTCTATGCTGATCAACTTAATAAATTAATCATTATTTAAACTATCTTGTCAATTTACAGTTTGGCATTTTACCCTTTGTTCTAGAAATATAACATGATTCATTTCTCTCCCATTTACTTGGTTCACATCTGTTATTGATTGAATTGTATACCCTAACAAAGCATGTTGAAGTCATTAGCTCTAATACTGTAAATGTGACCCCATTTGGAAATAGGGTCTTTGCAAATATAATCAGGTTAAGTTGTCCTTATAAAAACAGAAGTTTGTGGGTGGGAGAGACACAGAGGGAAGATGTCCATGTGGAGATGGAGACAGAGATTTGTGTTATGCTGCCACAAAGCAAAGAATACCTAGGGCTACCAGAAGTTAAAAGTAGTGAAGAATTCCCTCCTACAGGCTTCAGAGGGAGCATGGCTCTGCCAATGATTTGGGACTTCAAGCCTCTAGAACTGTGAGAGAATAAATTTCTGTTGCTTTAATCCAGTGTGTGGTACTTTCTTACAGCAGCTCTAGGAAACTAACACAACATTCTTTCAGAGCCCCATATTTCTGACTTCTTCTTCGAATGTTGTACTTCCAACTCTTTCTCAATCTCTGGGCTAGTTTCTTTATTTCTCCTTCAGGTCTGGCATTTGGTTTCATACACTATTTGACTCATTTCCATAATCATAAAAGCAGAGGGATTTTCTGAAAAGCTTGTACCTGATGATCTGCATTTAATGTTACCAAAAACAAATTTGCCAAGTGGCACTTAACTTCATTTTTTATTATAATAACTTCAAAAGCTATGATTTAGAGGTGGCAGAGATGCTTCAAATCATAAATATCTAAACTATGACCTATATTGCTTTGTTCTGAGTAGATCAAATAAGATGAATTCTGAAAAATGCCCATTAGATATATAATAACTACAAGATGATTGGTAATTTTAGTTAAGAGCAATTTCAGTAGAAGGATGGGGATAGAAGCCATAAAATTCTAAAATCTCTGTGGATTACAAATAAAATTAAAGTACAATGAAAATCTAGGGAAAATAGGTGCAAAATATCTCATAGACAAAGAGCTGTATTTAATACACTACAAGATTTTAGAAATCAGTACAAAGGTAACAATAAAAAACATAAAAAAAGGACATGAATAGAAAATTGATAGAAGTAAAATAGGTGATCAATTAACATATAAAAGAGATCAAAGTCTCTTCTATAATAAAAATTAAAATACCACTGTAACATTAGCAAAGATTCATTTTAAAGATAATGCCCCCCAAAAGTGAGAGTAGTATTAAATAGATAGCTTCATACATTGCTGGCAGAAGTTTGAATTGATACAAACTTTATTCTGGATAATTTGAAGGTAAATATCAAATGTTTCTAAAATGTGTGTCATTTGCCAATAATTCCACTTCCAATTCTACTTAATTTTGGAAATAATTATTTCCTCAAGAAGTATTTATTGAGCATCTATCTATTCTAGGGACAGTTGCCAGGTGTTGAAGAAACAAGAATACCAAAAGACATTGTTTCTTGTCCTTGTGAATCTCACAGCCCATTGGGAGAAACTGAACACACAAATTTAAAAGTTGTGGAAAATACTGTTAAGTAGTAAAGAGAAAATTTACTTTACCCGGAGTAGTAGGACAAAAAGGGTTTTATAGGAGAGAGCATCCAACTGAGAAAGTATCCAAGGGAGTAACAGTAGGAAGAAAATTCTAGAAACTAAAAAAAAAAAAAAAAAAAAAAAATCTGCTGTGGCAAGAGGAAAGGC